GGGTGAACCCGCTGGCCAACCAAGAATGCGTCGGATGGATACACATAAGCCTGGTACATGGGTTCTACGGATGGGTGGGAGCTCCGCTGACCCTGTCCAAAAAAGACACGCGGCCATCCTGCCCACGGGTATGCACATGCTCAGTGGATCAAAATGAGCACGAAACCACACCTCAAAACAGCTTGAGCTAACAAGGACCGTCCATGTCCGCGACTGCACAATGGTTCAAAAGCGGCTTGCACCCATACAACAACATGTCAGTGAGAGGAGCGACAATTTTCGCATCATGGACGGCTCAAAAACAGCAATTTCTGCGAGTTCCAGGTGTCAGTGGAAAAGCAGTTGCCAGAGACGGAAAAGCGCATGAACATGTCCCGCATGTGCAGAGCTAAGCTGGACGAGGTTCATTGACGTGTGCTGGCAGCTCCCCAGCCCCACTACAAGTGGGCGACCTCAAGCACCCCACGCTGGCATAAGGCACCCCAGTGCCCTTAGACGCCCCCGTAGGCGAAAGGCACCCCACGTCGGCAGAAGACTTGCGTTGCAACGTTGCCAAAACTAACAAATTGCGCCCGAGACGCAGGCTGCAGCTTTGAAATCATGTTATGTATCCAAATCTGTCGATTCAACTCCCCATGTAGACGCCCTTTACAGGTCCTTGCATTCCAATGTTACCAAAACCACCAAATTGTGCACGAGACGCAGGCCGCAGCTCTGAAATCATGCGACACATTCAAATCTGTAGGGCCCATGCCCCATGCAGACGCCCTTTACAAGGGCGTGTGTTCCAATGTTACCAGAAATAACAAACTGTGCGCAGAACGCAGGCAAGCCCAATTTCCCATGTAAACGCCTTTTACAGGTTTTGCGTTCACACGACTTACAATGACACACTCAAGATATGGAGAAATCTAGGAACCGCAGTGTGGGCGCCTTGGAGAGACATGCCGGTCGACCGAATATGATGTGCTAACGATTTGGTAAAATGTGGGAATCCCCAGTGTGACGCCCTGGAAAAACATGTGCTAAGGTTTTGGTAAGGTGTGGGGATCCCCAGTGTGACGCCCTCGCGAGACGCCTTTCGCCTACCCGGGACGCCTTAGGTCAAGGACCCAATAGCTGTTTTGGGCTGCGCTTAAGGGGACGGACCAGGCTGCAGCGTCCCATGCCAAACTTCTGACCGGCAACTTCGCGTTTTCAACCCATTCCGGCTGCTTTCAATTGACCGATCCGATTCGCCCAAGCGTTGTGAATAGAAACGGCTGGCAATGTCATCAGTTGCGCTTTTCGCGGCCACGTGCTGTTGGCTCTTGGGCCTCCTCACCGTGCCGTGCCACGCTCGCAAGCTGGTTCGCAGGCAGGCTCCTGGCTAATAGCATGCCTCTGGACGCATGAGGCACATGGATTGGGCACCTCTTGCGCGAGCTTGTGCCATGCTCACGAGAGTCCCATCATATCCCATCACGTGATGGTGCTCCTGCGGGGCCGGCCTTTTCGGGACAACGGCGAAACCAACGTGGCATCGCAGCAAACGGCCCTTCCCGTCATCGTTGCTCTGTCAAGTCAAGTCAAGTCAAGTCAAGTCAAGTCGAGTCGCCAGCGGTCATCTGGGGCGACGCTTGGAACAGCAGTGTTCGAGAGCCATTCTTGGGGCACGGTCCCGCACGACACGGCTTTCAGATTGGGGGCACGCAAGCGCATGGTCGCCAAGGTCGCCGCCCTGGCTCCCACAGATGCGCGGAACCAGCAGCAAAGGTAGCCGCCAATGGTGCAAAACCCGGGTGGGTGGCGAACCCCAAGGCCCTCAAGGCCGCAAGGGAGGTCAGCTATTTTTTGCAAGCGTCGTAGGTTTTCACCAGCATCCTGAGCGGCTAGCTGCCATGAAGTTGTGCGTTTTGGGTGGCGAAACGGTGGTGTGCGGCGTGTATGCTCCCCACAGCAGTAAACCACTTGAGACAGGACAATTTTTTTACGATGATCTGGATTTACAGAAACGAACAGTCGCGGCTTGGTCCATTCTCCATACTGTGGAATTTCTACGCGCGTTTACCATCAGAAGCTCGATTTTGATCCTGATGCAGTGGGGCATTGCATGGACATGGCCTTGGCCGCAATGATTGCTCACGGTTGCAAGTGAAACTGTGTCTGTGCCCATGCGCTGTGTGCCTTAGCGAGCACGCTCGCCCTGCGAAACTCTTGTCATGCCACGGGACGTTTTGGCAATGAGACGGCTGGATCGTTGCACAAAGTTTTGCAGTTCGCTGCTGTGGTGCAATTTATCGGGTGGGCCCATTCCCCGTTTTCCTGCCATTCCTGCACCGCCCCTCCCACACACGTATGCGCTGCGAGTGCTAGCTTGTTGCCACCAACCGTACCCGTGTAGGGGCTGCCTGCGTTCATATTGAAAATCCGTGTCAAACCAAAACAAAAATTGCGGGGGCTGCCCTATCCACCGGGTTGCGGTCTGGAACCGCCCACACAGGCCTTCTTCATACTGGATGCCTGCTGGTTTCAGAAGCGTCACCGCGCGATCCCGCTGGTATTGGTTGCGATTGCTTCCGGACACCGGCCGGTCGGAGGGAGCTCGGGGAGAGAGGCGGCGAAGACGTTTTGCGCTGCGACCGCGGGGGGGCGGACAGTGCCGCGGGCTGCATGGCCGCGAAGCCCGCACATGCCGGATGACGTGGGCAAGTACGCGCGTGGCAGTTTCTGCGCTGAACCAGCCCCGTTTGCGGCCTCCGTTGCCTGTGACGCCACGCGCATGCGCCTGTGGGCATCGCCTTGGCCCGCTTGGCGGTCACCAAGCTGCATGCGAAAAGGCAGGCGCGCTTGCCTCCCGCGCTCTGCCCCTCGAGCAGGCATTCGCGCGCGTCTGCCAAAAAGCTGGTGTTCGGGTTACCTGCTACGTGTGTATGGCAGACATGAACATCGATGTCGCGGTCTCGGACGACCACCACATCGAGGTCGTTGCCAGTGGGTTACCGCTTTGGCACGGTTCCCAACACGCCATCGACGCCACCATCGTCAGCCCGGTCATGCGCGCAGGAGGAGCGCCTGGGGCTGACACGCAGCCAGGACAGGTGGGGTGATCCATCGCAAGCGATGCCAAAATATGCCAAGTGTACCCCGAGCTTGTGCGCCCGTCGCTTGGTGTGCAGCAAGATAACAACGGCAACAGGGACATAGCTATCCCGGGGAGGGTCAGGGGACACCAACCCCTGCCTCAACGACGGCCACACGCACAATGGGTCTGGAAAGTACGGCAACGAGGTGCTTCTTTTTGGGCCCAATCCAACATCCACGAAGCGTTTGGCCGGGTCCACAAACGAGGGCGCAACGAGTCTGCATTGTTCTTCGCGGCGTTGCACGTGCGCGTGTTTCCCAGTGAACCTGGGTGTTTGCATGGCACACCCACGGCGTGCGGCCGCCAGGACAACCGCAGTCTCCCCTTTCACCACTTGTGCGCGGTGTCGCGTTTACGGAGCAACAAAATCCGCATCAGGAAAAATATACAAGATTGGGGAAACTTGTACATCACGGGATGCAAATCCCCAGAAGGACGCGTTTTGAAGAGCCGTCACGGAAGGTATAAAAATTCCGCCCATGTGATGCTATCTCCTGCAATGCGTCAAACATGCATCATGGCCGCCATACATCAGCAAATCCCCGAGCACATGCTAGTTGGAAGAGACGAAGGACGTAAAAAATGCTCCCTTACTGGGGGATTTTGCAGCAAGACCTGCAAGCAATACTGTTTGTACTTGGTGGTTTTGCAGAAAGCGCTACAAGATCAACACCCTCAGAACAAACACGCCATAGCAACGCTAGCAAAACCCCAAGATGTCACGCAGAAACCACCAAACTGCGCACAGATGCTGTCATGGACAACATCTAGGTTACCAAGCCGTGGCAAATCCAAAGACATGGCCTCCCGTAGACGTTCAATCGATGCATAAAAAAAATTGGGCTGATGTAAGATAAGCCTACCACACATATCTTTCATTGCCCTTTGCTTGGCCACATTGTGCTTGCAGCCGTCAGGATTGAAAAAACGTAACGCTTGAAACAGCAGCCAGCCAGAGTCGCGTGATATGGGACGGAGATCGAGCAGTGTTTTCGTCGCCACACGTCGGACAGCTGTACTTTTCAAGCTTCATGAGAGATCTATGATCCACTTCCTCCGCACAAATTCAATGCAGCGCCCCTATGCCACGTGCGCATATGCACATAAAAATGCAAGTGAAAGCACAGGCCGAGCAGGAACAAACACACGAACGCTGAGATGGGTTGTTGCGCATGCAAACACACGAAAAGGGCGCCACGATTCTTCCGTGTTAGGCCGTAGGAACCGACCGCTTTAGCAAATGGGAAACCGGCAACACGAGGTTACACTCAAAACTGAACGCAAGTCCCGAAAAATGATCTGTCTTGAATTTGCTGGCTTGCACCACGAACGCTCAATTCATGCCCGACAATTGCCTGCCGGCGCTTTGAAGCATGAGCATGTGCCGGGCTGGCGCTTTCACCACACCATGCAGCTGACGATGCGCAACGGCAGCACAAAAACATCCACACAACAAAGTTCCTGCAACTGTTCAAAGCCGTTTCTTTGGCAAAAGCATGCCACCCTCGGGTATGGTTGGGAATTTTCATCCCAGAACATGAAAGACAAGCAGCGGTCGGGCCTGGCACGGCGCTTGTTTGTGCACTCAGGTGGGGCTTTCCATTGCCACACGTGCATATTGACGTATCATATTGTTGAATCTTGATTCGTATTGAAATCTCGGTTCTACATGACGCAAGTGTGACAAGAACAAACGCCGGGCTTGACCAAGGAAGCCCACCTCGATTCATCTCGGCTCTTCAAGACCCATTTCAATTATGTAACATAAAATGCCCACTGCGCATTCGTCACATATTGGTTACATTGTGCCATTTTCCCCGTACCTGCCTTCAAAGTTTATTATGCCATGTTCTTTCACGGGGCGCGGGGCTCTGGCCCAATGCTGGCTTTGGTTCGTGCGCCAAACTCAACCGCAAGCCGCCCAGGACTCCCACCTCGTTGTGTCAACTTGTTTGTTGTTACGAATCTAACCAATGCCAATGCTTTCGTCTTCATCCTCACCATCAAACGTGCAATCTCAGGTTGCGGCATCGAAGCCCCACCTCGACAGCATAGTGGACATGCTGTTTGTCTTTAGAGACACAGCGACCCGTATTGAATGAATTCATTGGGAACAGAACGCAAGAAATCTTACTCTGACTGAAAACTTTTCAGGCTGCGAACTTCCAAAAGGGCCCCTAATAAGCACAAAAAAAGAATGAATGAGGCATGGCTTACATGGGGTAAATTACGCATAGCTACTTCAAATTGTTGTAAAATGACGTCACATCAAATCTTCGATCCTGATCTACATCATCGTCTCAGATTCTGGCTATAAGAATACAAAACTTGGAAGAGTGTTGTATGGTCAGAGCTGAAGAAAGAGCTGAAGAAAGATCTCAAAAGAAGATTCAACTGGAACTTGCTTCCACTAGCTCCGTGCATTCAATATTTCGTTGGACAACACAACCCTTCATGGCTTGCCAAGCACAAGCTAGTTGAACCAATGTCATCGCGTGGAATATCGCTTTAGGATCATTTTATTCCCGCAAGTTGCCCCGAAATGGTTGTAATCGGCTTTATATGATTCGCACGCAAGCATTGCCCACCGTATAAGCATTATGAAATTTTCTTGACGTCTTTGCAATGATGGAAACAATTACATGCTCCTCCGATGGGGGATCCTTTATTAAGCATCGGAAAATTATGAAAAGAGCATGAAGCCAGGGCCTTTGCAACTCCTCGTCATTTGCCACCGAGGTCCTGCTCACAATGCATTTCGTGAATGCACGTGTGCAAAATGAGTCGCCAAGGATCACCAAGGCATCATGCGTGTCCTTGAATCACCAAGGTACCGCATGGCCGCTCATAAGCACTGCTGCCAAGCTACAGTTTGGGGCATCCAATGGTTTGTCAACGTGCGGTCCAAAAGAATCGGGTCGACATTCTGGGAATATGCTTACATGATATTTCGTAAACAAAATGTGCAGCTGCCTGGACTTGTATACATGCAAAGCACATGCCATGTATCCATTTACCACACTAGAATGTTGCAAATGCCCATCATGCATCTCCAAGCAAAATTCCGAAAGCCAGCATGTTATCAAAACGAGACTGTAATTTGGGACTTGGAACAACACCAAACTTTCTGGTCTCATCGCACTGGAAATCTGGGGAACACAGGAAAGGCCCAATGCAAAATCTATTCATATCCAGCAATAAAAACCTCACTTGCATTCATCAAATATACGCAGCAATCAATAACAAAAATTATTCATATCCAGCAATAAATAAAAACTCACTTGCATTCATCAAATATACTGAGCAATCAATACACACTCGGGCCACACACTTTTTTGCGGAGCAAATGGGGAATTTTCAAAGGTAAACATTCTGCAAAACACACTCTTGCAAGTGAAGCTTGTTACTTGCGAGATCCTGCAAATTTGCAATCGCGCACGAGTGAAGGACGCATCAAGCCCCGTTTCCTGCAAGTGAAAAACCCAACTTGAAAAAAAACAACAAGTCACTCCGGCATTGCTGCAGGGTGGGTGGGTGGGTGGGCGAGAAACAATTACCACCTCAGCCCTGCTGAGCCCACCTCAACTCATGGACATGAAACAAATCACGACAAATCAGTGTGCGTGAACCGCAGCATGCAAAAACTCTCGTGAGATAGAAATTGCAAAGCAAATCTTCGAAAGACATGCGGTCGTGAATAAAAAACGATTTTTCTAGGAGAGCCTATCTAAATCATTTTCAACAATAAAATCTCACACGTATTCATCAAATACACTCAACAATCAATACACGCTCGGGCCACACACCTTTTTGCAGAGCGAATGGGGAATCTCAAATGTAGACATTCTGCAAACACACTCCTTCAAATGAACCTTGTTATTTGCGAGATCCTGCACGTCTGCCATGCAAGGGAGGAACACACATCTACCCCTCCGCTTAGGACCCCAGCCCTTTGTCAACGTCAAGCCGCTGCCTAAAAGAGATAGGCAGGTGATCACACGTCATGCGGGAGGGCGCATCTGCTGGATTGGACTTGGATGTGCTCGCACCAGTGCTGATTGCCGGATGCATCCCCGTACTCGCAGAAAGTCATCAAGAATGAACAGACGACCGCCGAAGATGAGCGGCAGCGGATCAGGGCACTGAGGGCGGCCTCGTTGTCATCGTACCCAATGACGTCTCCATTCTTGATGCCAGCACACACCTGGATCAGTCCAATACCTGCTGCACAAGCTTCCAATTCGAAAATAAAACCGTTGTTGGATGGATCTTTGTCCATCGCAACCGCATCAACGGACACAGCTTCGGACATCCACCTCAAACCCAGCCCTTTTGACAAGAAAAGGATCGCGCCAAGTCTGTGCCCTTTGCATTAAGAGAAACATCGGTGAACAAGTGGTAGCAAAATTTAATACAAGCCCTAAGGATCCTAGGCACTACCAACCCAATCCCTAGGAAACGTGAGGGCGTGCACCGAGTAAGGGGTGGCCGTGACATATTCGGCAGTTCGGCACGCGTTGGACAGAAGCTTCATACTTTGCCTTGCGACCAAAGATCTGCCCTTCCGCGGAAAGCTGCTGCCCTTCGGGCATTCAAACTCCTTTGCGGAGGCACCCTCAGTGAGCATCCAGGACGGCGGTGGTGGCAGCGGCCAATTCACGCTTCCTGGCCTCTGTAATTTTTAACGAAGACAAAGCCAAGATGTGCCCTGCCCAAACAGATTTCGACGCCCAAAGCAAGAGTGATAAACGAGAACCCTGAGTTCTTGTCTGCGGAAGTCTCCCAACCAAGAAATTGAAAGAAGCCAGCCTGGACGAACTCAAGACGGCGGCGCTCTTCGGTTCCCCTTGTCTACACAAAATCGACAAAATACACGGTCCAGTGAAGACGGAAGATGGCAATCAGAAGTACGACAAAAGCCGTGGACAGCTGGTTTTGCCCCAAACGGCAGGACTCCTGCCGTCCCAACAGGATTATGAACGCATAACAAGGCGTCCCGCAAGGCGTCAACACATTAAGGCAGCTGCTTATAAACTTTGCCCAAGTCGACTGCACGCAGTTTCAACATAGGCCTTTGGCAATGGACTTGCAGGCGGGATCTCCATACCCTCATCAACAATCCAGCCAAGATCGTGTCCACACCACACGGCGCAATAGGCCCGGAAGCAGACGACGTCAAATTGGCCAACTACTGTGTGAAATCGTCGGACTTTGTGGCCACGGGCGTCGCCCTCCCCAACGGAGGATTTTGATGACCCCAAACCTGCGAGTCAAGATCGCGTTTGCAGGGACCTGGTCGAGAGGGATGGGACCAGGAACCCAACCACGATCGCGCTTTTCCAGAGCGGCGCGGTACACATCTGACGGCTCGATCCGAGCATTGGGCCATGGGCCGCGGCACTCAAAGTAACCTGCCGATTACGGGCTGCTGCCTGGCGCACATGGCGGGGGTCGCTACAATTGTTTTGCTGGGCAACACGCCCGAACTTGGAATGGGACCACAAATATCCGACTCCAAGCTGCGGTCTCAGTATTTCACTGAATCCAGCGTTTCTTTTTACAGCACCATATTCTTGGATCGTAGGATCTCCGCGCAATGATTTGTCGGTTCAAGATGAGCTTCCTGAGGGCAGCAGTACGGTCCTGAGCAAGAACAGTCAAGGAGACCGTGATGTGATTTCTTTTATGCAATGTTGCAACGCAGGCGGCACGCCTTCCATCAAGTTGCGAGGACGCTTGGCAGAACACGCTTCCTTGATGAACCTCTCAGGTGTTCTATAATCCCTACAACCAGCTCGACAAAGTCGGCTTCAAGGTCTAACGGGGAGGAGACATCGGCAGGTTCAGGACCAACTCGGAAGGGGTCAGGTGGATCAGGGCACGGGTTCCCCACTAGATTTGATCTGGCGCGCCGGGCCGCGGGACCCTTCCGGCAAGCAATCAGTCTGCGGGCTGATTGTCACGTCTTTGGAAATCTCTCTCGAGGAACTTTCTTGTTCACATCTAAGTTGTTACAACAGCCAGCTAGAAAGTACAGGCTACTCACTCAGACGCAAGCACTGAACGAGGTCTCTCACTTTTGACTGGCGGTGCAAAAGGCGAAGCTGCTGAGATGTCCAAGCATCAAAAATAAGCGAGACCATATTCAAACCCCGTGTGGAGTTTGGTGAAACGCCCGAGTTTCAGGAAGCAAAAGTTCGAAGCACTTGACGTATATTTTTGAAAGCAATGAAAAGGAGAAAACTTGAGAAGTTGGGCAAACCTGAGGCAAAGATGTGAAGCCTTATGAGCAGACGCATGCTGAACATTCCACCCAAAGCAAAAGGTATATAAATGGGGAGTGGAGCGCGGGTGTCAAAAATGCAAAGCATGCAGAAGCTGCTAGCTGGCTGTTGCGCTTGAGCATTCAAGCAGCATATGCACAACAAGATGGAAACAACACTGAGTAAACACAGATATCGTTCGCATCTAACACCAGCCAGCTAGAAAGTAAAGGCTACTCACACGCAAGCACTGAACGAGGTCTCTCACTTTTGACTGGCGCCGCAAAAGGCGAAACTGCTGAGATGTCCAAACATCAAAAGTAAGCGGGACCATACTCAAACCCTAAGAGGCTACCAGTCAAAGTGAGTGAGTGAGGATCGCAAAGCGCGCGCAACTACAAGGTGAGACGAAACTCGCTACGCCTAAAGGGCCTAAAGCTAGAGCGTCAGAGGCTCGTGAAAGCAGCTCGAAACGTGGAAGCGTCCATTCCAGGTAAGAATCAGGAGGAACCAATGACATGCAATTACATCGGTGCCAAAGTTGCTGCAGGTCCACTCGGATACGAAAGTCAGTGGAAACGCCAGCTGGGAGATCGGATTGACCATCCCATCTGGAAAGCCAATCAGCAAGCTCGTTCCGCACCAGAAACATGCGACGTATCCAGCTAGATGGCTGTAAAGCAGCTGAAAAGATGCAGTCTTTGCGCAAATATGTTCAGAGGACACCGATGGCGTCAGCAGCAGATACCAGTTGCGCTCGACGAGGAAATTCCAGGGAACGGTACAAAGTAGGACATTTGCACCATCAAAGCCAGTATTGCAAGAAAGCAACGCTTTCTTCTGAAAGTTTCCGATGAGAGCTGGCTGGATCAGCTACACGTAGCCAAATACGGCGACTTGAAAGGACCACTTTGTGAAGATCTGACTTCTGTTGAATAGCCACACGGCGGGCTTCAAGAAGTTTAGAACCACAGGGAATGGCAGTTCCCCTGGGAGTGCGAATGTAAAGCACATCATCAGAAATGCAATCAAAGAGCTCAGCAAAGTAAACAGAATCAACGCTGTGTAAAGTTGCAGGAGGCAGGTTGAGAGTTGAGATCTCTGTAAAGGCACCCGACCCATGCTCTGGCTGCTGGAAATGCATACAACATACCAGCGGCCTTGTGAAGGTCACGTCGATGAACCTTGTCAGGACAGGAAAGCAAACCGCGAATGCGCATGGCAAGGCGATCTCTTTTGTTAAGCGGAACTGAAAAGGCACCTGAGCGGAGATGAAATGACCACCCAATCCATTGTATGTTGGGTCCCAGCTGAAGTTTTGCCCAGCTCAAAGGTATGTTGAAACATACACAGAAAGCAAGACAAAGAGACGCTGTAATGTCAATAACGGCGACGTCTGGAGTGGGCAAAAGGTCGTCAACGTAAAGCAACAGAATGCGACAAATGTAGATCAGTAGATGCAAGCTGCGCGCGAAAAAGGAGCCCAGTCTTGCAAACCATAAAGCTGAAAATACTGCACCAAAGGGGCATACAGAATAAAAGTAGTGTTTACCATCAGCTTGCACCCCCAAAAGTC